CAAATATTATAATCTGTATAATAATCAATTTGAAATTCTTTCAATCAATATATTATATTTTTGAATTTCTTTACCATCTTATTTGTATTAATTAATATATTATATTATTATAGATTTGTTTCAATTATATTTTAAAATACTATAACTGATAATTTTTCAAGATGTCTTTTTTGATAATTTTGCATTCTTATCAGCTAATTTTGTCAAACATGATTTGTTCAACTAGTTTATCAGATACCAACTAGCTTACAAGCTAACAACTAATGTATAATTGTTATAATTTTCCTTCCATGTTTGTTCAACTTATAATTTTATTTCTCTTCCCTCTTCTCTTCTTCTCCCTTTCTTCTTTCTCTCATTTTCCCTCTTTTCTTGTCTTTCTTCTTCTTTGTCTCCCTCTTTCTTTTCCCTCGAGGTGCCTTGGATTCTGGTAGTTGAGGTTTCCTCCTACCCGAGCACTTCATTGTTGTTGTTTTAGCGTTTTAGTGTTTTATCTTGATCTGGAGGGGTCTCCTCCCTCCCTATCAAAAAAAGTTTTGAGAGAAAGATTAGTATTATTCTATTTTTGTTACCTTTCCTTTCCCTCCTAAGAAATACTCGAGAGTCACCACAAGATTGTTCTCCCTCCTACTTTTTTTCCATTTCTCTCGTGAAAAACTTGAGAACACAGTGTTATTCTCTGATATCACGATAATTTTATTTTTAAATCAACCCACGAAAAATAATGATATATTTTAAGAAAAGAAAACCATTTATACGAATAAAAATGATGGTATTAATTTGATTCCTTTCGTATTTTGAATTGAACTACTGGAATATACTGAAAGAATTCGTTTTATTAAAATTTGAGATCTTCATGTCGGGTTTTTATAATGTTTCAAAATTTTCGATAGTTTCATATTTCGAATCAAGACTTCAATCTTAAATATCTTGGCGACTTTGTTTTTATTAAAATAGTTTTCGGTCTTCTGTATATTTTCAACTTCGTCTCGTTTTTAAGTTATCGTCAATCTTCATAGAATAAGTCGCTTTATAAAAGGAGTCATTAGTATAGTCAAAACCGTTATAGTACTACTACACCTAAGCCTTGTACTCGAACCGGCAAGGACGGCCCAACTTGTTGGCTTAAAAATGAGTTGGCGACTCATAGACAGTGGGTTCCCTTACAGTGGCTTCGTTAAGGGAACCCATTGGAACTATAGCGAACGTGAGCCTCTTAAGTATGGGGAAATAGTTATACATGCTTCACTCTCTCGGTATTTTGAGCCTTAGCCACATTTAAAAATGGGTTATTCACGTATTTGTCTTGTTTTTAAAATTTGTCTTTCAGTACTCTATTAATATTCATCCTCGATGTCATTTTTATCGTCGTTCATTGTTGTAAAGGTATCGTCTGGCTCAATAGTTGACAACGTCGTTTCATTTAGCCGATTTTGATCATGATATTATTCTATTTTTTGAATTGTCCCGATTTCTACATTTTATAATATTTCAACTAAGACCAACTCTAACCATAACACTTAAAAAAAAACCTTCGTCTATTCAACACCAAAAACAATTCAACTCCATCTAGACTTAAAAAAAAAAACATCAAATTGATGGACCAATATAATAAAACATATTTCATTATTATTAAATCATTTTTAAATACAATATTTGCTATTTGTGAATAATTATTAATTTATTTAAATACAATACTTATAATCTTTTATTTATGATTCAATTTTTAAATATAAACAATGGAAAAATATTCTTCAAAATAATGTTGAATTAATATAAAAAATATCAGGTTTTTTAAAGCTAATAACATTAAAAGAGACGTTATAAATATTTAAAAATAAAATAAAAAGGCGAGCCAACCCGATTTATTGGCAAATCACTAAATCACCAATGACCAACAAAAGATTTGGTGATTTGCCGCGAGATTGGAACTACATCACCGGCAAAAGTTACGCTTTGCGTGTGGTTGTAGTTGCTCTAAAGATATGACAATTTACTAATCATCAGTTTGTAGCAAGGTACAATTTTCGTTGGATCAAATTGGTCAATTATGGGTGTCATTATTTGGTTCAACTCTACATCATACGTCCAAATTGCATCTTGTTTGTTAATGTTTGTTTGTGCCAAAACCACAACACGAGTCTTCCACGTGACATCTCAACATTGAATTTGTTCTACCGTAAGGAGAAAACTTTTTACATTGCACCTCTCGTTTCCAACTTTCGACCAAGTTAAATTCTTCCCAAACACCGGACTTTCAACCATGAACAACGACGACTCAGACAATGGGATAGGAGGCAGATGAAGCAGTGATTGGATGTCATTTCATGATTATAGATACGAAAAATAGAGGATGAAACTAGAAAAAAACACGAACCGAGATCAAATCACAAATTATATCAAATATCAAGTAATTTTTTTTTTTTTTTTGCATATGGGAGTTCAATAATTTTCCCCTCAACACTTGCAAACTCATGGATGCTGAAAAAATTGGTCAAAAAGGTGGTTGATCTAATGCAAATTCATCATCACCAGCTCCTTGCATTTTCCTACACAAGATTTTCCTGGTGCCAACAAAGTTGTGCATAAATGTACACATTTAAACTATAAAATATTTATTTTTTAAATAAAATACAAAATAATTGAAAAAGTCAATCCCCACTACAGCTATCAGCTACCAGCTATGTATAAAAAAGTAAAATGCTTATTTTCAAAAAAATAAAAGGGATTGACCAGGTCAAAAAGCAAAAAAAAAAAAAACACATGACATGGCATGGAAGTTGGTGTCCTAACTCCTAACTAAAGCCAATGCCTTGAACAAAGCTAAAGATGGCAACATCACCTTTTTCTTTTTCATATTTTTTATTTTCAAGCATATTGTTCTTTTGGAATTTTATTTACCTCATCAATCGTTCTTCTGGAAAATAATCTAATAAGGTCTCACATATTTCCACGTGACATCAGAGTCGAGATGTAAACTCTAGTGTTTTAACACTCTGGGACAATGTGCCTAGCCTGTGTTGGACCATTTCTTCTAAATATATGTCGAAACGTCTGTTCTTTTCTCAATAACTCTTTTGAAGAATAATCTAATGAGACATAAAACAATGAATGTAATAGTTGTGATCAAGATACATGGCTTTTAGCAAGTGGCCATCCTGGTGTGGTGGGTGAGGTGAGGTTCTTTTGTATGATGGAAAAGAGTGTGGTGTGTACTATAAAAAACTTAAAACAACAAGAAGTAAACAGATAAAGTAAAGTTGGTGTACTATTATTCTAAAGCAAATGAGTTAACACTTCCAAAATTGGTTATAAATGGACCTCCCATCACACTTTATTACTTTTCATTTCACCTTTCAACATGTCTACCTCATGCATGTGAACTTCACCTGCCCATAAACCTTGATAACCTCATAAATAAATAAATAAATAAACCTTACTCAGTTTCTTACAAACTATGTTTGTTCACCAAATAAAGGAAAAGTCTGTATATTCCATGAAAAGTCATATAACACCTCCTCCCAGAACATATTATTATAATATATAAGTTCAAGATGAATATCAACATATGACTGAGGCATAGAATTATTCCTAGCTCCATGGACCTAGTCAACTTTTGTGGGGTCAGAGCATCAACACAGCTATAGTTTTACCTTCATGATCAATTTTGGCACTAGGAAAAGGCCTACCCTAAAATTACATTAAAACTAAACAATAAGGGGCCCTTAATACAAATTGGATAAGCAATAAGTGTGGTCTGTGTCAATACTAATCACTGACCAAGTCAGCATCTCGGTCGGCATCACGGACCGGTAAGAGGGGCTTCGCAAACAATAGCATCTCTGATCAGGGTAAGAGGCGGTAAACAAGTAGTAATAAGTCTTTAAAACCATTTCGCTTAAAATTTGCGTGTCATTTTCAATATCAGTGCAATACAACATATGTGACCTCCGTTTACATGATACTACAGGCTTTTGGCACAACTACAAGTTAACTTACTTCTCCTACAATCCATGGCCAAATTTGAAATTTTCCCTTATAAGTGAGGATGAGATGTTGCGGGTACCTTATTACTAAATAAAATGTGTTCCTCCTCGACAGTGGTGTTATCTCCAATTACTAAAACCCAAGTCTCTGTGATTTTCTCTAATTTCCCTCCCTTCGAATCTACTAAAGTAAAGGCCCGCAGCGTACCTTCTGAGTTTGGCGTCAAAGTAGGGGTGCTGGTGGTTGAGCTGCTGCTATGAGTTTCTTGTTTGTCATAGAATCTTTTGACCCTAGGAACGATGGCCCCATTTAGGTATATGGTGTTATCATTCCCGACCACAATCATTTTACGTGGACCATTTCCAAATGCCAGCTCCTTATGCATGTGACCAAACACGACCAGGGGAACAGAATATTTGGTGTTACCTTTAAGTTGAGAAAGAGCAAGTGCTAAATCTGTACCATAAATCAATTGTATAAGCATCAGGATACATTCATTAAAGGAGATAAAAAGTGTCATGATGCTGGGTGGTACATTTGAAACCAAGTTTGTCAATTATAATATTTTGGATTTAGGAAATAAAAATGGAAAATCTGGAAATTAAACTTGATTCATATGTATATTGAGAAAGGGTTGGGTTCTGGTGAGAACCCTTTTTCATGAGAATGTGAAGGTATCAAAATATTGTGTGAACGCTTGTCGTGAGAACTGCGATACTTTTATATTGTGCGAAGGTTACAACATTCATACAATATAATGTAACCATCCAATACACTTGTGAAGGTGACATGAAAGTTACAATCTTCACACAATATAACATAACATTCACAGAGCATAAAGGTAACTTCACTTGTTCTCTTCTTTTCATGAAAGTGAAAATTTGCCACATGATAGAAATTATCTCAAACAAAATACTAAAATGGGTTAGCATATGGTATAAATATTTGGATCTAAAAAACTGACTTCAGTCAGAAGTTATCTACGATTTGCAGCTGGGACATGGCAATAATGTCTGTTAATTTGGCAGAGTAAGAATTATACCACCTCATCCTAAAAAGGAACTGCAAATTGACTTTCTGTGTGTCAAATGAGTTGTACTACATTTTTAATCTGAAAAAATTAACTTTATTATGTAGAAAAGTAAATGTATATTGGAGATTAAAAAAAGGAAAAAGAATCTTTGAAGTTGGAAAGCATCATGTTTAGGTTTCTAGAATCAAAAGTGTAACCTTTTTTGAACAGATGAAGTAATAGATTACATTCAATGCACTAAGCATACCTAACTCATGAATATTACACAATGTCAATCAAATCATGGTATAACATTGCATGTGGGGTAATTATCACCTGGATCACCATGGTCTCCACCTTCACGCACCCAATCTTTTCCACAAATGTCATTCAGGTTGGAACCGAGACCTGAACATACATACAAGAATATTTAACACAATAGATTAACTGTTTGACCATGAAACTTGAAATGAGAAGTGGAAAAGACGTGTATGTTGAGCAAGTGGCAGACCTGAGGGTCCATTGTGAGCAAGAAGAATAATGGAATGATCCTTTGGTGTCCCTAAAGAGGCTTCAGATATTCTCTTTGCACTCTCATTCATGTTATGAACTCCATATCTAACAGGTTGTTTCCAATATCAGCAACAAAGGTGTTAATTTCATAAGAGGTATCTAGCCTTGGTCGACTGAAGGACATGCAAGGTATAATCAAGTTTCAATAACAAAAAACCTCAAGAAGTAACATACTCCCAAGTTCTAACATCTCAAATCGAATGAGCTTCTCACTCAAAACGTAAAAATTAGGAAACCCTTTTACCATGTCGTATGTAAATCACTAGAAGTTGCTATTAATATATTATTTATAGGAACTGAAATTTCATTGTTCACCATAACATCTAAAAAGATCATGCATTGGAAGATATTATGAAAAGGATTGAAATTTTTGTGTGAAATTTGATAAATAAATAGAAAAAGTACCTTTTGAATGGCACTTGTTTGATTTGTGTTGATAGACATTATTGAAAACTTTGAAGTGTTACATGTGAAATTTGATGAAAAAACATGTTGAATGATAGTATAATGGTTCACCAAAAGTCCAAAAGAAGTGCAAAATTCTATTGAGTTTCTATTCACAGTTTAAAAGAACGCAAAATAGCATGTAACTCTTCCTAAAAGGTTTGAAAAATCAAAAGGCACATATGGTTTGGAACAAACTGAAAGTCGAAAGACTCGTTTAATTTGAGATTGTGGGTGTAAGTGTTAATTCATGGCGGCGGGCAAGATTTTGCTAAATTGACTTTAACTTGTTTTCATGGGAATAGTTAGACATAACTTCTGGCTCTATAAGGTGGGCCATACACACTCCTAATTCCTTGAGCAAAACAGGCTATCTAAGATGCAATGAAAGATGTTAAGATTTTGGGGTTCTTCCATGCAATCCTTTTAAACTTCATATAAGCAGGCAACAAAAAATACACCGACCTTTTAGCCAGAAGTTGTTTCCTGAAGAACCTTTCACCCCCGCAAGAAAAGGGGCGCCCTCCAATAACACTCAGCTTCAATGAACAGAAGTCCAAACGTTGATAACCAACATGTTCTTCCCCAAAACTGGAAGCCACGACACATGTTCAGGATTCATATTATCCATCAATGAGTTCTTCAACAAAGCAAAAAAAGAAAAATAAACTTGTTCACTATATCAGAATACTGACTCATACAGTCTGGTCAATCATGCGTAAAAGTAAAAGCAATGGATTTACTCACAAGCAGCAGGAACCCCTTTTGGTGTATGTATAGTTTTATTGATTAATAGCATTCTGAATTATGAAACATGCAACATGCAACACACGATCTTATGCAGTTATAAATGGGGATGATAAAATTAGTAGAGTTACCAAATCATATACATTAACCGCAAGATCACCTAATGGTAGTAGGGCTAGCAATGACCAACCTATGAACATAGATTAGAAAGCTCACTTCAGTTGTTTAGCCAGCATGTTATCCATCATCAGTCAGAGGGTGAATGACATAAAACAAATACTAACTGTTTGATCCCTCCCTCTCTCATGCATCCTCTATTAATTCAATAATTTCCTATAAGGCGTTCAGATGAAAGAAAAGCAGGAAAGAAGGCTATCTTTAATATCGGTACATCCCAAGTGAGGAGAATGGTGGCCATGACACAGTTGTTCGGTACATTGTGTGATTGCATGCCAAACTTCTAACCTGTTTTTTTGGGACAAGTTCACCTATGCTAGTAGATCGCTAAAATTTTGCATAACCAGACATCAGTTATCTTTAAGCACAATAAATCTAGTACGAACCCTTGTATCCCCAATTTTTTAGAATCTAAGAATCGTAGCATCCCCATATTACATACCTGTATCCTTGAGACACAGGGACTACAAAACAACGAAACCGACTGTTTCATCCATATAATACTAATGTTGGATCAGTGAAAATGTTGCGATGAGTTCCAACAGTTTTTCATGTGTGGTTTAGATTGCCGAATTGTTAGTTCCATATAAATTTGTGACTTGACTGACTAAACTGTTGTATTCAGGGCTTTGAAAATAAGTCCTGTGATATAATAGCTATAGTTGCATGCACTGATATAAGATGTTCATGTAATTTGCAAAATATAGGACTTCTAAGATGACTTCGTAAATCTGAAAATGTATATATTATTTTGGAGCAGAGGCGACAACTTTTCTTTTCAGGTTAGGAAGAAGTAAGATTTTAACCATCATGAAGACAACAACCACCACCATTTATCCCAAATTGGAATAGAAAAGGACCCAAAAAACTATTAGAAACGATAACTGCAAAAGAAAATTGCACGTTTTGGTATTAGAAACAACAGTGAAGTATGATACACTAACAAGAGAAAAATCTTCATAATTGGAAATAGCTAAAACTCACCTTTCCAGCTGGAGTTGGACAGCATCTTTCCTCCTTTAAATCAATGACACAGTTAGAAGGTAGAAAAGGAAATAAAATTATGAGACCAAGACAAAAGAAGAACCGAATGCTTGAAACTATATTCTAGAAGCCATATTCTATAATGTGCATCTCTTCTTTTTTCTCTCTTTTAGATGCGTGAGAGATAGTGATAAAAGAAGAACTAAATGAATTCTTTTTGATTGGTACAACTGAAAATAACTGTCACTGTTCCACTTGAAATCAATATTAAAGTTATCCTTCAAGAAATATATGTTTTAAACTACACGAGACAAAAATCTTTTGTAAATTTTAGGTGGGGTTACAAGAAGTGAAAATTCATACTGTTTGAAGGACAGCAATTAATTACTGATTTTAAGGGGATGCCTGACAATTTAAAAGAAATGCATAATCATAAATATAACTAACAATTATCAACCTATCCGTTTGGATTTGATATTAATTGAAAGCAAAAGTTACGTAAGAAAAACCGTCAATTGGAAAGAAATCGACTGCACAGACAAAAGATCGAAATGACCAACATTTTAACAGGGGCACAATACCACACAAGTCAAATTGGCAATTTTTATTTCTTTCAAGGAGAGCCTAGGTCTGATTAAGGCTGTAAACGAACCGAACGTTCAGTGAACCGTTCGGCGGGAAGTTCGTTTATGTTCGTTTATTTAATAGATGAATGAACATGAACAATTTTTTTTGTTCGTTTAGTTAAATGAACGAACATCAGCAAGAGTCTCGTTCGTTCATTTATGTTCGTGAACGTTCGTTCATTTATCGTTCGTTTACGTTCGTTTATATTCGTTCTTTTATGTTCGTTTATATATTAAATTTAATATATAATCTTTTATTTATTTATTTTGAATTCAAATAATATTTATTGATGTTCGTTTAGCATGTTAACGAACGAACATAAACGAACACGAACACATCTGATTTCTAAACGAACGAACACGAACACAAAGAATTTCGTTCGTTTACCGTTCGTGTTTGTTCGTTTGTTCGGTTAAGTTAAATGAATGAACATGAACAAGCCTATGTTCGTGTTCGTTCGGTTCGTTTACTACCCTAGGTCTGATTTAGGTTACTTACACTGTCACTTAGAAAACGGTGTATCAATAGTAACAAGAGACTGACCACATACCAGTTGTACAAAATAAGAATTCTGATGACCATTGGAGACGACAAACTATGCCAAAGAACAACGTGAAAAAACACAATTTGGTGAAAATAGAATATAGAGCATGCACCAGCATTTACCTCATTAAAGCAAATATAGCCAACAGTACATTGCATTTTATATGTTATAGTAGTATACTTCATCGATAAAGAAAAAAAAACTTCATGCCACGAAGATAATTCAGGAGTGAAGTACGATGGCTACCATTGGATGATTCCAGGAGCACCACTTTTGCTACTAATGAATTTAAATTTTCATATTCAGTCAATGGACGAACAAACTCGTTAAGTTGTGGTCACATGCAAAATACATGACCATCTAGAGGCAAAATGGTAAAGCTTTGTATCATAACATCCCGAAAATGTTAAGAATTATTAGACTTGTAAGAAGTATATATGATGGTGGATTATTATCCTATTCTTGAGTGATGATAATGATGAGATGTTGTAAGTCATGATGTAATATAATTCCAAGATGTGGTTATCCCTGCCATATTCAACTCATGTGATTCCTCGTAATAGTTACTCTCTCATTAATCACATATTGTTTTGGGAAATATGAACAACTTTTATGAATCGGTTTGATTTTACTATTTCTAACAACATTAATCATGCTTTTAAGGTTAGAATGCAAGCCGATTGTAAATGGTATCATAATTAAACGAGTTAAGGCGAGTTCAAGTTGATTTAAAGAAGTACACCAAACGTACGTATTTTTACATAGCCGATTCATGTTGTTTGTGTTTGAATGTGTCATGAAAAAAAATGATTTAACCGGTGTTATAGCATGTGGTTATTAAATACTTTATACAAAATAAATTTTGAATAAATGAGCATGCTAAATAATTATAAAAAAGTAGGTGGAATGTACTTTTGGTGTTTTGAAATTTGATATTTATATAGCATGCTATTGACATAAGTTTTTGGTGGAACAGAATTTGTATAATTGAGGTGATAGGAGCTCTTTATTGCACTATGGCTTTGATGTATTAGATCCGGATCTAGCGACTTAGGGTCACCCCTTTGTTGTGGTTATATTGGAGTCGCTCCCTTTACAATTGATAGATTGCTCCCATAAGGTGTTACATTGTGTTTATAATCAGAATGGATTCAGATGTTTTGAATTTGGTTTGGCATTAGGATTCCAATTTGGGTTTCAAATTTTCGATTCGTGCAACTGGGTTTGGATCTTTTTGATTGTGTTGTGGACTTATTTTATTTAGATCTTTGATGCCTTTTACATGTTTTCGTACATGAATTTCTAATGTCTCAAGCCTTCCAGAACCTTCTCTAATACTCTCAAACTTCCCTATACCTTTTGCAAGTTTAGGGTCTTTTCGGAAAGAGCTTTTCTACCCCTAGGGGTGGAGGTATGATCTGCATGCATCTTACCCTCCCAAGGCCTACTTCCAAGTGGGATTTTCTGGAGGCTTGGTTTGGTTTTTTATTTAACTTATTTAGATTTAAATTTGGATTTGTGCTTGGACTAAAAGTAGTTTGGTTTCATTTTGAGGTTAGAGATGATGAAGATGATAACAAGAAATGAAAAAAAAAATGATGGTGAAGGTGAAGGTGAAGGTGAAGGTGAAGGTGAAGGTGAGAAGGAAGATGGTACAAAAATTTACCATTTTGCCCCTTCCAAATATGAGGTTTTATTAACGGAACTATTAAGTTGATTCTTCTCTGTGCTCGAAAATATTGTCCTGTGATAGAATGTGGGAATTAAATTCTTTAATGGCAAAAGTGGTATCCCCATGATAGTCTAGTTACAACTGTTATACATTACTCTAATTCTAAATGCCTCGTATAAGTGTACTTACTTTTCAGAAAAGTTTTGTGTGTTCCAAGCATCATGGTTCCCTAGGATAGCCGCTTTAGCCATTTTAAGTGCTGCAATGCTTCTAACAAGTTCAACATTTTCATTACCAAAATCACCTGGAAAAGCATATAGGCAAAGAAAACAGAAGACAATTGAAAATAAAGAAAAGAGCATCACTATACACATTTAGTTCATAAGGGAAATGCTTCAAGACCAAAAAATGAAAGAAAGCTTGCCAGAAAAATCAAGAAGAAACAAGCATCAGATGAAAAAAACCTGCCTGTAAACAGCACCAAATCTGGCTGCAATTTCAAACAAAAACTTGTAAGTTGTAACTGATAGGAATAAAATGCAGAACAATAACCTCATGGGTGATGATGAGGGAACTTCATTAGTTTATCCAAGGTAGAAAACACACACACAGACACATACATGTGAAAGAACCAATCAACTGACAGTAACATACGTGGAAACGAGAGTGGATGGTGCAGCATACATCATTCACAGGGATACATGCTGGAAAATGGTATTTCAGATAGGCCTATGTGGACTACAGTTGGCACTGATAAGAATACATTTAGGCCGTCAAATAATGCCATGGGCTGTATAAGAAGCATTGACGACTACTTGATGTTTTGTGTATTATATGGTGTTGATCCTCATCCAGAAGTGGTTTGTGTATCATGGAATAGGCCAAACTAACAACTGAGATTAAAGAATGACTTAATCTACACAATGTTAAATGACATATCCAACCATGTAGAGGTGTGACCCATGTCTACTGTTTGACAAAGCAATCAACACCTGGATACGAATTCCTGAAATAATCCAGTTAGTAGTGGCTATGGATCGGTTTCCTATAATTATAAATGGATGAGAGACATGTAGTTTTTAGATGTGGCAACCAATGGGGAGCCTGAATTTGGATGGAAATCATGCTTCACCTAGCTCTGGATACGGATCATTGTCCTGTGTAAAGTACTGCATATATAATGTGGATGCATTCAGATGTGCAAAAGATAAAATCATAAGATCATTTGGGATTATAAAAGTAAACATGCAAAATCTTGAGCTTCAACGTCAATATAATTATATATGAATGCAGTACACGACATTACCTCTATTGTGAACGATATAAGAACCAACTATATTATTATCTTGACTGTCTTAAAAGTTATCAGTTTATGTAGTTTCAGAATTTGGAATCATAAAGTTTATCTCTGAAAGCAAAAAAATATATATCTGATTTCTAGGATCAAAAGGGAGTTAAAATAGTTCATATTGAGCTATAATAAACGAAAATTAAGCCAAACTGAGTAATTACCCGCAACAGCTTAAGAGCCTTTGAATCTTCTTGAAGATTCCAATCATCATGCTTCAAAATCCAGCAAAATTTCAGATAATTAATAGCTGAACATCCATTGATTATCAAGTAAAAATGATGAACACACACAGGGGAAAACGAAGCTCACAACGTCTCCGACGATGACTATTCTGACCGTGGAAGCCATTGGTAAGCGAATATTGAAGTTGACCTTAGAAGAATAAGACGCCGAAGACGTTGGTGGCGACGGCGATGGGCCGTAGGAACCGAAGAGAACCGTCGGAGTGGGCGCGTGAAAGAACGCGCTGGAGAACATAGAGAACCGTATTTCCGTAGTATACAACTACAAAAATATTAATCTGGTTTATGCAAAACGTTACACTTACGCCCCTCAATTTTTGAAAATTTTGGATATTAGTCCTTCATTAATGATGAATTTATCATTTTTGGATCACCTCATCTGATTTTGATTATTGTTTATTTGATTGAAATCCAATATATCAAATATTGGACTTTTTTTTAACTGATCTAATTCAATCAATTTTAAGTATTGTTTGGTAGTAGTTGAATGATTCGAATAATTAAATGGTACTTTAAAAAAAGAGGTTCTTTCCTTTTAAAGTAAATAAATGGCTACATACATATCTCATCCTTCTCAAACCTACTTTGTATGTATGAAAATTAGTTGGTTTTGCGATTTTGAAACCCAATTTACGAGTCGTTTACTAAACGTTTATTAGATAGGCACTCAGTGAGTAAGCGTTTACTGAGCGCCACTTACCTTACCAAATGAGCATAACAATGACCGAGAATTATACCAGGTAAAAGATATAGCATTGACTGAGAATCTTACCCAACTACTAAGGGGGTGTTTGAGATTCCTTATAAAAACAACTTATTGATATATTCCGGTATGGCACCGGTAATAAGCACTTGAGACTGTTTGCATAAACAGCTTATACCGGTGTTAAACCGGTAATAAGAAAATTTTGAAGAAGTTAAATCATTCTAACTTATAATAAATTGATAAATACATTTGTAGAAAAACATAAGTTGTTTCAAATAAGCAATCCCAAACACCCCCTAAGTGAAGAAGAAGATTCTTACCCGGTTAGCGTTTTTCGAGTAAAAGACACTTACCAATAAATCCATTTTGATCAAGGTAACATTCTTATATTCAAATGTGATCTAGGATTGAGAAGGAAGCATACACCATGACCATTAAGACAAGAATGTGAAGTTAACGGTAAGATATTACGTTTGCTCCCATTCATATAGGGTTTGTCTGGTTAATTTCACGGCCCCATAGGATTAGCCCAAAACAACCACAAGGATGAGTTAAAGGAACCGGTTTCATTAAAGAAAGCCATTTCTAGAGCATCTTATTTCATGAAACCACCCCCACATATTTGAACAAACCGATAACATCTATATCTGAAATCAAGATTGCTTTCATTCAACGATATACTACTCAGACAACAAAATCTCATGCTACGAACAAACATTCAAAGAGGCACCGTTTGGCGCAACAAAGTAGAGGCGAGCAGCAAAAAGGTATTCTCATTTCTCAGCAAAAATGACATCTGTAAGCCAAATCATTGTACATATTCCTGCCAAGAAAACCCACCCTAGTCCGTTACCTCCGAATATATACCTCAATTTTTCCTCTTCTTTAAGTCCACAAAACAATAACGTCGTGGCACAAAAGGGTTATTTAAGAGAACAACCTTCTGACAGATTTTTTTACTTTCTAAAACATTGTCTACTAGAAAAATGCCTCAAAATCTGTCGGAAGGTAAAAACATGTCAGAAGGTTATTCTCCTAAATAACCTTATTCACAGGATGTGTAACAATGGCATGATTGTTACAGAAACAGAATCCGGATGGAGATATTCACTACCCCCTCTATAATTATTTAAGAGTAAAATTATCATTTAGTTGATTAAAAACTGTAATAGTTAAGACATTTTCTAAAACGGTGTGCCTTTTTCAATGTGGACGGAGGGAGTAACGATTAATTACCTCTGTATAACCAACATCATACAACGGGGGGGTAGTCACAGATCAAGCGTCAGGCTGCTGTCAACTTTTCTCTCAACCAGTCTACAAAATTGTCAAGAATCAAAGGCCATGCTTGACAGGCATCATAATTTTGAAGGTCCGGAAACTCTATCTGCAGATAAAAGCCAAAGAAATGAGCAAATTGCACGTGTTCATATAAACCGCTGGAAAGGGACTCATGCAAAATGACTTAAAATCACACTGCATAATTAAAAACTAATTCTGGCAAACTAGCTGATTTGTTGGCTGTTAGCTGTTTGCGAATAAGCTAGCAGATAAACTAGTGTAAAACCTAGGTGGCCAGATGACAATGTAAATTGACATATTCAAAAATTAATTGGAAAAAATACAAGTGGCATTGGGAAAAGTTGCAAAAAGCCCTTGGAGCTTAAGTAGCGTTTCAAAAAGCTAGCTTATGGCTGACCAAACGGGGCCTTCTCAATAAACTCAAAAACAAGCTAGCTTATGGTTACCAAACATGGCCAAAATGGAACAGCAAATGAAGAATACCCGGCTGCATAATCAATAATTGAAGTGTTTTAAAGCTTAAAGAAGCCGACAGTGAAATCTAGAAATGAGTCTCATAAGGGATAAAATCAATCCACTTCTACCCATTACAATCCATCATTGAAGGAAAAAAGGATAAAAATAAAGAAATATCGTGAACCAAAATTATTAACATCCACATCGAACAGCGGGAATATAGGTACTTTTAGCTTGAAATTGTGTCAAAAAATAAACCATCAGAAATAACAGAGGAAGTACTAATATGGGAACTTCCATATAACGAGTTTTATTCGATAATAATAATAATAATTAGTAGAGTACCTCTTGACAAAAACGGAAAAAGTTTGTCCACTGGTCCATGTTTATCACCTTGTATTCCTTCTGGATCTGATAAGCACATACAGTTATGCTACAAAGTGATAGATGAATGAATCATATCTATATCTATACTATATTATAAAACATTTGACAAAAACTCTTAAAAACCATTTTTTATGCATAAAGTACTGTATATTGATGCATATTACTTAAAATTCAAGATTACAAGTAAATTATGCATAAGTACAACTTATTAAAACTTCATGTTTGAATTCGAGTAACTAACTGCGAATAAACATAATCAAACAGGGGATAAACATCTCATTTAAATATAAAAAATCCAAAACATAATTAAGATAATCATTGAGTTCTATCAGAATACTTAATTATTGTCTTAAATAATTATTTTATTAAACCAAAAATAAATTAGTTCATTTTTAAATTTCAGTTAAATTATAATAAAAAATTGAATTAAAGAAATTACACAAAAACAAGAACTTTTAAATAGTTAATTTGATATTAATATTGCTTATTTTTTTCAAAATTTTATAATATCTTCAAATTTATATTTCATTCAAAAATAAAAACATTTTGTTTCTCAAAACCACATAAAGTCGCATTATAACATCGATAGACCCAAAATATAAAACGAAACAATAAAATCAAGATGTATCTCGCTGCATTGCGCGAGTACCCTTCTAGTGCATAAAAAAGGGTGAATACACAATTAGCTACAAACCTTTAAGTACTCGACAAATGAATCAACCTGAAGAGGAAACTGGCGTCCAAGAACAAGATCGAGTAACATGCACACGCTCTCAATATCCAAGCTCTTCTGTTTATCTTCTGAAATACGTAAAATGACACGAGAAATCATAAGGTTTAATGGATTAAAGGGTAGGGTTGGTTCAAGAGAGAACCCTAAAAAGGGAGAACAAGGGAACCCATCCGAACCGTCCATCTATTTTAATCCAACGGTTGTAAATAATAAGGGCGGTTACATTCGAATCTGGCCATCTGTTATTTTAGATCAAGCGGTTAATAGGGGTTTCCTGTGTTCTCCTCCTTTTTGGGGTTCTCTCTTGAACCTCCCTCTAGAAGGTATGTGATCAAATAAGAAGAAACACAAGCCTCCATCTGTCTCACATCAAGTTCCATCAAGAATCTAACAAAATATTTGAGAATGCAATCTTTTCATTTAAAGAAAGGTCTTCCATTTTATTTAAATCCCTGAAGCTTACCAGTTAGGCAGTAACGAAATGAATAGCAATAGAAATCCTCAAAATTATTTTGCTTCGCCACCTTCTCAAAGAACATGGACAACAAGATGTTAGATGTTATTTGGACTTGAACCATTTCTACATGTAATTAGAAGGGGGAACATGATAACGTACCTCTTTCTCCAACTCGGGGAGCTCTTTCTTTAGCTTTTTAAGAGTGTCAGCATGAAGAGATTTTAGGCCCGTTCGCCACTCATCCTAATAAGACAAGGATCAATGATCACTAGAAGATTTTTGCATTATGTGTTTGTGTGTTATCATTGATTTTTAACAATTGCAACTATTTCACCTTGTGCAAACAAATTGAAAATGCTAAGATGATTAGAATACATGTAGCCAAATACATTTTGAAATAAAGGAAATCACGATTGGACAACTTCCACAACTCAATCATGAGAGTGCCCCACAATTTCACCAATCATAACTTGCGTCATTTTGCAGCTTTTTTTTAATTAGAATCAATTAAGCGGATTTTTTTTCTCCATCAAATTATCCGGATAAAGACAACAACCCTAGGCTCATCTTGGTTAATGTACAAAAGTGTGGTTGGTATCCGAGGATCTATGGGGCTTCAGACACCATCACCTGCTATATGGTTCCAGCTCATTCCTTGCAGTTCAAAGCAAAAAAATCATAAAACTTTTTAGTGGAAGTACTTAATGAGAGGGAAGAGTCCAACCAAAAATTTTGGTATTTAATGCTTAGGCGAGGAGAATGCACCTATTGTATCTGCCCTGTTTTTCCTGTTAACCGGTCCCCGTATGGTAAATTCTATTCATGCCTAAAGATCTGCTTTTGGGGGGGAAGCAATTAAATGTTTTCTTTCTTTCAACCATCACTTCATTGGTAGTCTGGTACATGAATACTGTTTTCCTAAATCCAAGTATCCAACCCCAATCCACATCTTTTGGTCAAACTATCAGGTATGACTTATGAACCTAAACCCTCCCCAAATTTAAATTTGACATTTTCCTCAAGCCAAATACACAAAAATAAAGTAGCTATTACTAGCTCACTTCCATTTGCTCATCCAAGTAGACAAGTATCTTGTGAGAAGTCTGAATCTGAATCAACGCATGAAGCACCAAGTTTGATAACTTGAATGGGTGTTGAAAATTCAATTGTCATATCTTGGATCAAAATAGGTTGCAGATTTCAATAATTTGGTCATCAATATAGGTTTTGCTCTTTGTGCGTTCACTTTAAAGGACTCCCCACCGTTGGCAGTTTATATTTCTACAGCTTCATGAGAAAACCTCTCGTTACAGGTCACACAACATGAGCTCCACCATTGAGAAATTAATACGGAGAAGAACGCAGGTCAAACCTTTTGGCCTCGTGAAAGCTCTATCATAAAACATGTTTGTAATAGGATGATTTGATGCATTCTCGTAGAGTTTGGCATCATCATATGCCTAGTCAAAGTTATCTCCAACCAATCTATACTCATGGCCACATTAAAATGTAGTCCAATGCAACCAATATATAGTAATTGACCACATTATCTCCCTAATGGAGACTTCCACGGTTCCACCTCTATCCACTTCAAGATGTGATCCACTGCAACCCGATATATACGCATCTACCGCAATGCATGGAAGCTTGAAAAATAGTTTTTAGGCAAATGAAACTCTTGTAGTACCAAGACCGTCACCATAATCCTGAACACGTGATGCAGCCACAACATTCTCCAACAATTTCCTGCCCTTCATCTTCAAGTCAAACTCTTATAGTACTAATAACCACTTTACTAATCAGTTGTCTTCTCTAAAATGAATTAAAGCAACATGATATGAGAAATGATCCCCAGCAATACACTGAACTTATCCAATGCAAACATTACTACTATATTCCCCCTTGATCGTGGTGTAATTCATCCAGGTGTTCAAGTAACTCTTACTAGCACTATATATTATTAACATTATGACCTAAAACTGCTCCTACAACATAGTCAACAGCATCACATGTGCAATCTCGAGAAGAGACCAATAGTGTCATTGCATGATCTATGCCTCAGTATGTATTGTTTTCAACCTCAGAACTGCGTCGAAGCACCATCAGTATCATACGTCATACACCAAAACAAGGGCTAGGAACTGGCTGGATTTTTCCCTTGTCCACCAAAAAACAATGTTCCCTAGACAATTTGTTCTTGAACCATGAAACGATCTTCACCAACCTTTCGACAAGGTTCAACTAAATGCAGTGCTGAAGACCATATCTCTAGAGACACCCATCAAAAGAAACACTAAAGAAAGAGAAGTCATCCATGAAGATTTTCACGAGCTTGCTATCATAAGCTTTAAACATCATGCAACTTCAAAAATGGTTTGAGTTGTTACGTACACCCCTTGCTTTTTCTTTTGGGCAAACTTGTCATATGGGTAAATAAACATGGTTTCTAAGTGGGATTATTTGGTCTAAAATGGCATAAATCACCACTACAACTTAGCCACCTTTTTCTTAATAGCTTCATCTATACTATCTTATAAACCATATTTATCAAAAGTTTTAAAAACAATTTTTAATGCACAAAGTACTATACATTTATGCACAAAGTCTTAAAAGTCTTAAAAACAACTCATAATGCATTAAGTACTACTACTTTATGCATTTAGTCTTAAAATCTCCTAATCTACAATTAAAATAACATATAGCACAAGTTACCAATGCACATTATTATCTTTTCTTTTCATGTTCCCAAAATACTTTTGACAACTTTCACTCATGCTTTCACCCTCTCATACCTCTATGTCTTCTCCCCATCCCCCAATACCTCTATGTCTTCTCCCCATACCTCTATGTATTCTCCCATTCATCCCCCATTCAATTGCTCTAGAACTCTCAGTCTCGCTCTCGATCTCTTGATTCTTTGCTCTTGGTGTAAATCGAACACATTTGTGGAGTCGTTCAAATATGTTGGACTTTAAATATATTGGATTTTAAATTGTCATACAATTTTTTTCATCGATATACTATAATTGGAACCACAACTCTTATTTATTCAAATTGTATTAATATGTAAAGACCAAGTGTAACTTATATCATCGTTAAATCTTCTCTAATAAAACCAGTGAAACTTCAAAATCGTTAAAATTCACGGCTCCCGCCGCATTGCACGGGTACACAACTAGTATGTTTAAGTAATTCAGCACCAAACTAAATGGCTAATACCTCTAGATCATCAACTGGACACCAAACTGTAGCAAATAATGCACCAACTAAAGTATGTCCTCATCAAATACCTAAGAAGTGTATCTAATACATCGGTAGTAAAGCACCCATGCTCACCATCGTGAGCTCCAATAGAAAAGATTAAACATGATCATACAATATGAAATTTAAAGCGCAAGGCATGCAAGCCAGGCTACTTGCCAAAAAGATCACACACACACAGACACACACACATATATATATGTGTGCATAAATATCACAACAGCGATTAATATTGGGTCAACAGCGATTAATATCAAAAAGTGGAAACAGTCAAGTCAACGACAAAAACATATTCTTTTGAAAGGAAAAGCAAAAAATTAAGGACTGAAAAATGAAAACAGGAGCAAAGCAAGGTATTCAAAGAGTTAAGAACAGCAATTATGTGATTCACCTATTGATTAGCAAATAAGTTGTCAATTTGAATGTTTTGACCTACTAAGAGCAGTGATTAAAAAGTCGTCAATTGAAAGTATTCACAAGTCGTAAATCCCCACCAGGTACTTGGCCAATGTAGAGCAGCTATCAACCAGCAAGAAACCACTGACTTAAAAGTGTTGCAAGGAAAGAGCAAAATATTTGATGGACAATTGTCAATTTATAAAAAAAGAAACAGATTGTCAAATGTTCAAATCCAACCTCGTAACCTGATAGGCACAGGTTGTTTTACCATACCCTGTTATCTTCTTTAATTAACCCAAAAAAGGCCCAAAATGCATTTAATTTGCCCAGTAAAGCCTCATCGTCTTTTGACAAAAAGACCACCTCCTCACTGTGCCCTGTAACTCATGGTGGAAGTGTAGGCATCACCAAACATGATGTGCCTCCAGAAAGGTGCGACGTTGCTGTCCTTCAGCAATGCACCTCTTACCTAGGCACATACCTAAGCTCCCTCGCCTTTTACAACAATGATCCTACATAAGAGTTGACAATGTCCGATGCCAAATCAACAATTAACACTAGCATGAGTTTTACCAAAGAAAGAGCATCCTCAATATATCTTCAAAACTAACTAAAATATCTTCTGAAATGCACCATGGCATCTTCACAACCATTGGGTAACGTTTGTGGCTCCAAAGAGACCAACTCAATCTACTCATACACTGGACCTGGACCTTTGAGAAGTGTGCCCCCACTCCCATGTCGAAGAGTTTGTCTCTTTATGGTAATATTCAATACGGTGACAAGAAACAGAGTTACCCCAAGGCCTTGGAATTTCAACTGAATAGAACTTAACAACATGCATCGTGATGCTAATTCTTCTTGTTAGAAGAGTGTAAGAGTTGTCCCAAGTCCCAACAAGATAAAAATGATCGTTTCTCTCCAACATGCCTCTGGAAAGCACAAAGGAACAGCCAAACAGGTAGCATTCCTAAAGTCTATCTCTTACATCGTACCTTACTTCTGAAAAGAATGGGAGTCTCAGCTCCACTCTAAGTGAAAAAGATTTCTTCTATAAGTTAGACCCTTAACCTAGTCCTTTTCATCCATTCAACATTGATTTGTAGCATAATGTTGAAATTAAATCTTGGCTGTAGTATGCTTCATCCAACATCTTCCATCCACCATCTAAGGAGAAACAATTTAAAGATTATGATACGAATCAATTTGGCAAAATCAAGACTAGCGGCCAAACGTATTGCTAATCGGATGCTTACGGATAAATCCTGGAATTCGAGAACCAGGGAATCTCCAATGTCAAACGACAATAATAAAAATATCTGATTGAATGCCCATAATGGTGTGGCCGACCCCCTTAAATAAAGCCGTACCCTAATCCTAAAAAATATACCCTAATCCTAAAAAATAGGAAAACATATGTATCCTAATAAACTATAATTAATATCTATCCTAATCAACTAATTAAGAATAAGAAAATTGCAGACAGCCCCCCTCTACTTGTTTCCTGCCTCTCTTTTGCGACGCTGATATATCCGACCCCAGTGAGGGTCGGGCTAAGACGTATCATTACCCCTGCCCCGAAGATTCACCTTGTCCTCAAGGTGAAAGGCAGGGAACTGCTCCACCACCTGAGTGTACTGACACCTCCATCGCATCCAAGTGCGCGTGAGTTTCCGATGTTACCTCTTCCCCCTCGTCATCTTCATCATCCATTAACATGATCCGTAGGGATTTCTCGGGGCAACGGTGTCCGGGTGTAAACTTCCCGTCGCATCAAAAACATAAGCCCTTAGCCCGTTTATCCGCCAGTTCCGAGTCTGTCATCCGTTTAAACGGCTGTTCATTACCCTGTTGTCGGTCGTTGGGTTCCCGTTGGTGGGGCAGCCATCGGCCGTGAGCCCCCCACTCCGGTCCGCACTGGCTGACTTTTGTTTTCCCCTTTTTCCGCGTTTCCAATGCTGACAGTTTTATTTTCATCTACCATAAGAGCTAGTTGGATCGCCTGATCTAAGTCCACTGGTTGAAGCAACCTCATAGAAGTTCGTAGCTCTGGTTTCAACCCTTTTAAGAATGTAACCCTGCATAATCTTCTCAGGAATACCCCTTAGCTGTGCCGATACTGTTTCAAATTTCCCTATATACTCGAGTGCCGACCCTTCCTGTTTAATTGCCAAAAATTGTTCGTATAGGTCCCCTTCCTGAGATGACTGGAACCGAGCCAACAACCGGCTTTTCAATCCTTCCCAGTGACGAAAAGGGTGCCTATCATCACTCCACCGGTACCATGCGAGGGCCTGTCCCTCCAACCCCAACATCGCCGCCCTCAACTTCTCCCCCGTAGTAACAAATCCCTGAACGTCAAAAAATCTTTCCATGAGATACACCCACCCATATGCATCAGTTCCATCAAACAACGGCATCTTCAGCTTACGAAGACGATAGTCCGACCCCGGCACCAACACCCGTTCCCCCGAAGGTGCCGAGCCCCTTCCATACCCGCTGCCAAACGGCTTATCAGTCTCCGAAAAAGAAAACGTACCCGACTCCGAAAAAGGAATTTCCTGAGTGCCGACGGGCTTGTTCAATTCCTTTGTCGTGCTGGTTGCATGCCAAGGCGGCAGAGGCGCCCCATTCTCATCAAAAATCAAATTCGATTGCTGCATTATGGGCCGTGTGGTGCAATCGGTGTAGATTGGCGATGGCATCGCCGCTGTCGGCGGTGGTGGCGACTTCAACGCCTGGAACTGTTGCAACATGACCTTCATCATCTCCGCATGTCGCTTCTCTGTTTCAATGCGCAACGATTCCATGGTGGCCTCCAAGTTTTCGAATCGCTTCGTCGTGTCAGCACGAAACTGATCGGCGGCAGCCTTCTGTTGAGTCAACTCAGCTTCAAGATCCTGAACTTTGGTCATGGTGGTGTGGACAAAATCACAGGTGCAAGACCGATGCTCTGATACCAATTTGATACGAATCAATTTGGCAAAATCAAGACTAGCGGCCAAACGTACCGCTAATCGGATTTTACGGATAAATCCTGGAATTCGAGAACCAGGGAATCTCCAATGTCAAACGACAATAATAAAAATATCTGTTTGAATGCCCATAATGGGGTGGCCGACCCCCCTAAATAAAGCCGTACCCTAATCCTAAAAAATATACTCTAATCCTAAAAAATAGGAAAACATATTTATCCTAATAAACTAATTAATATCTATCCTAATCAACTAATTAAGAATAAGGAAATTGCAAACACCCCCCTCTACTTGTTTCCTACCTCTCTTTTGCGACGCTGATATATCCGACCCCAGTGCGGGTCGGGCTGAGACGTATCAGATTATTGGAAGAGAATACAAGGTTTTCACTTGGAGGTGGCTTAACAACACACTATGGACTTCTCTTGTTCCATCCTGAAATCTGGAATTGATGACATCTACCTTTTACTCTTAATTCTCCTACTATTTGTAATAAAAATACATAGAATGTTCTATTATTACAATCAATTGCAATGAAGCCTTGTGGTGAGTCCTGTTTTGCTTTTGGTTCTTAATTCCGAAAACACAAATGAGTGTTTGTTCGTCATGCCCATGTAAATTTCTTTCAGGGCCAAAGTTTTCTATTTAATTTTTCTTCTGTTCAGTGCCAAGATGACAATGGATTCATTCCCAAAACTACTGGTTCCATTATTGGTGACTTTGATTTTAGATCTTAATACAACTTTGAACTAAAGAAACTAAATAATAACAACAAAAAGAACAGATATAGATGCTACAGAACAAGAGCAATGAGAATGTCATACACTTTTAAAGTTGTTTTTCTGTAATAAACAAGAAGAATGTAGGAATTAAACTTTTAAAACACACCTGTTGCATACCTGTGTAAAGTAACCCTGCTTTTTAGCATTCATTTTCCTGGAACACTTTAATTGTCAACACTTGCACATGTGAATTGCCTTAAACATTCAACCTAATTGAAAATGGCCAATAACACATACCAAGCAAGCATCAAGATTCTGACATCAGTATGCTCAACACGTAGATCCGAGCAAAGCTTCTCAACTCCTTCTGGACTATTACAGACAAAAGAAACCATAAGAATTCCACCAGAGTATAATAATAATAAAAAATTATTACCATCACTCTTTATAATGACATGATATGAAAAACAAAGGTTGATGAAAAGCTTGATATTTGAAAATTGCATTACTACTTCAAATTGGATTTGAATTTACTCATGCACAAGAAATAGTAGGTGACCACAATTCTAGTATTTAGGTCCAGGAGCATTCGCAATATTATCATCTTCAAGATTCCATATCTCCACCCTTCTATGAATCCCCCAAATGAAATGCTTTGTAGTTCTTTGTTGGTGCTGGGGGTGCATATAGAGTCCAGCTTTGACCATAACTCATACAAAAGTTCTTTCAAAAGCTGATTCGGCTCCCCTGCCTACTATCGCTACCTCAACTGCTTCCAGCGAGTGCACTTAGAGTGAAAGTCACTTGAACTTGAAGAGTGAAACAACTACGATTTTGAACAACTACAAGAGCCTTTAAGACTACATCACTAACTATCCTTAACACTAAAAGAAGTCAAAGAGAACTAATAATTGATGGACCAAAAGGTTCCAGAATTGTTGACCACAGATACCAAGATTACAGGACCGGTAATCTTGATCCTTTTAATAGAACAAGTGAATGAAAATTCACAAGCTATGGGTTCAGATATTAGTGTTAAGAATCTGAAGTTAAACTTACATCTTATATATCTAAGAGAGGAAAAGAAGAAGATGAGAACGAGAAGACACAATGAATTCTTGTTCCCCGATAGTTTTAGACCATTATTGCTGCCCAAAGCAAAAGCAGGATAAAGTTTGTACTTACGGTATTTGCTTATTTCATCTCTAAATAATTTACGAACCATAACTATCATCACCAAACTTGAGCAGGATAATTTCTTTCTTTTACGAATTTGATATTGGGCATATATATAGATTTTGGGACAAATCATAGCTATCATCACCGAACTTCCTTTTTGTATAAAGAGGGTCAATGCACATTCTCTTTCCTAATCTTATTCTTTCTTTACAATGGTAAGCTTGATAATCACCATAGATTTAATCTAGAATATCCATTTCCGCACATATATAGATGCACCAATGTATCCTTAACTTTTTAGATTCGTGTTTCCACATGTCAAGTGCCCATTTTGTCACAAGAGCGTCCTTGCAACTTAGATCGCAAGGAGTTGATTAACACGCCATAGAACAAAGGGGTGATTGTGGGCCAATGCCGCCATTCCTTTAAGTGAAGTAGTGAAGCTCAAGAAGAAAAGCATGTTAAATCAAAGATTAATAAGTCACAGAAATAAAAACAAGGCCATTGATATGATCATACTTTCGAATTTCACAAGATCAAGCACGTTGATAAGTTGTTCCACAGTCATTCTCTAGCACTATAAAACTTCAGTAAGAGCTTTCCAGGTGAAGTGGAGAATTATAGGAAAACAAGGGCAATGACAAAAAAATATTGATATTTGTATTGCGTTTAGCAGCTTGATGTGTGTTATGGTCTACACAAGGACCAGACATAGCGCATGACATGGGAGTCATGGGCAGGCGAAAAACACATTGACAACTTGAGAAATAGAGGTATTTAAAGGGTAATTCAAAATAACACTTTGTTTTGGCAAAGATAAAGTGAGACTAGAAGCACTCGCTGATAGTGATTTTAGTAGAGATTGTGTACTCTAGCAAGAGAACTTCAGATTAAGCAACTGTGAGTTGGATGTCCAAGCATCATAAATGTGTTTTCATGCGAACTATAAATGCAAATATGGGTCAATGTCTAAGGTTATCAAGCAGATGGCTTGGTTGAAGAATTTTATATAAAATATAGGCAAGAAGCAACAGAACAACATTCTCTTTAGTGACAGAGTGCAATTTGGCCGGCAAGGAAGCAAGTGTTTCACTCCAAGACCAAACATGAGCAAAATATAATTCATGCAGGGTTTCTTGGAAGATAGTCCATCATATTTAAAGAAAACTTTGAGTAGACATGTTCACAAAAAAGTGTTGATGCTGTGAAATTAAGGTTGTGTTGGACCTCAGTTGGGCCTCCATGTCAGTCATAAGAAGGTGGAGTTGGTGGTTTTTAGGGAGCTTTTTTACAGACAGCAAGTTGGTTCTTTGGTTGACAAACTCCAAGTGGGTGATTGTTGGATATAGAGCCTAATTAGAATTGTAAACACGACTACGACTTCACAGAATCCAACTTTGTTAGAAATGGTTGTAATCAAGGTTTTAAAGAACGCAAACGAATAACCACAAGGGTGGTGCCTGATTGGTTTGAGCTTGGGCTCCAATGGTTAAAAGTAGCTGGAGGTCACAGGTTCAAATCCAAGGAGGAATAAAATGACCTTGTGGCCAGCGGCCACGGTGGTTCAAATGTGGTGACTCAGGACTACCTAGCAGGCGCCCTGGGATTAGTCGGCTCGCATAGCGGGTTGGATATCCAGGTTAATCAAAAAAAAGGAACGCAAACGAGCCTTGAGGCATTTTCTTCTTAGGTAAGTGAGGCGTAAGCCTCAAGGCAATCTAGGAGTAAGCCCCAAATACTTAGATTAAGTACTAAAAGACATACAATATTAATTAATAAATTTAAAAAACAAAATAGAGAAATATAATAATATAATATATTTATAGTAAAAACATATAAAAATTGCTAAAAAGCAAAATAAAACAAATTATTAAGTATAAAAATATATATTATATATCTACACTAAAAGCATATACAAGATTAATCAAAAAATCAAAAGACACAATAATACAAATACAAAAGTTATTAATTATATATAATAATATATTTTATATATTTATAGTAGAAATATATGAAAGATGTCAGAAAAATAAAAAAATAGAACAGTTATTAACTAAATATAATAAGGATTATACTTCTAATAATAAAAATATAGCAAAAGTAATTAAAAACTAATCAGAATATTGAGAGAGGGGGTAGGCGATAGAAAGAAGCGCCGTATTTCTTTGACTCACTTTTAGGGTTTTATTCTTTTATTAATGAAAAATTTGATCCACTCAGCCCACCGCTTAAACGCCTTTGTCTACATCTCAATCAACATCAACCGACGAGGCGACGAGTACGATTCAGCAGGCCCTTAAAAGGCAGCGCCTCATATACGTTTTCTAGACACCTCGCTTGAGGCACGCCTCAAGGCGTACATCTCCAACGTTTTTTAAAACCATGGTTGTCATAATGCCATTCTAAGTTGTCTTGTCCTTTTTCTAATTTTGGCTTTTTATGGCAGCCTTTACATCTTTCTACATTTACAGAATTCACAAATATAACAGAAACCTATCAATAATAGTGGATGTGAGCAAACTGATGAACCACTTCAAAATTGTGTTCAATTTTTTTATTTCTTGTAATTACCATTGTGTATGCATGATTATAATCCGACAAGTACACATCCTACTTTCTTCATGGCGATCTTTGAATGTTCGACAAGTTTTTGCTTTCTCAAAGTAGAAGTTTTTTACCCTGCACTCTCGTTGAACCCCCTATCAAGTACTTTCAAGGTGAGGTTCTTCAGGGGTGTGGTGTTGACTGTATCCCCAAACTATTCACCATGAAATCAGAGGGATACAAGAAGGATACACAAGGAGCAGTTTTATTCCTTCTTTTACCAACATATACAAAGAGAGAGTTTGTTCTTTCTTTTTACCTAAAAAATAGAAGTTTCACAATATTCAAATTAGAAACAAAGGCTAAAGCCTAAAATGAAAGTTCTATGACTACAAAGAGAAAAGGTGAGACACTGAGAGGACACAATTTTATAAGATTTATGGACACACTAAGTAAAAGCATTGATAAGATTTATGCTTTAGTGTATATTTTTGCTTACATTTTTAATGTATGAAATTGTAAATCATGAATAACTTCTTTCTTTCTTTGGTTTTAGATTTGTCGAGATATGCACATGCATGGTTTTAAAAAACGGTGGAGACGTACGCCTTGAGGCGCACCTCAAAGCGAGGCGTCCAGATACATATATGAGGCGCCGCCTCTTAAGGGCCTGTTGAATCGTACGCGTTGGTTGATTGAGACGTGGACAAAGGCGTTTGAGTGATGGTTGTTGGAGAGGCATCCAACTGAGTGGATAGAATTTTTCATTAATAAAAGAATAAAACCCTAAAAGTGAGTCAATGAGATATGGCGCTTCTTTCTATCGGCTACCCCCTCTCACAATATTCTGATTAATTTTTAATTACTTTTGTTTATATTTTTACTATTACAAGTATAATATATTATTATATTTAGTTAATAATTGTTCTATTTTTTTTATTTTTTCTGATATCTTTCATATATTTTTACTATATAAATATAAAATATATTATTATATATAACTAATAACTTTTGTATTTGTATTATTGTGTCTTCTGATTTTTTGATTAATCTTTTATATGCTTTAGTTATAGATATATAATATATATTTTTATACTTAATAAGTTTTGTATTTGTTTTATTTTGTTTTTTAGCAATTTTTATATGCTTTTACTATAAATATATTATATTATATTTCTTTATTTTGTTTTTTTAAATTTATTAATTAATATTCTATATGTCTTTTAAACTTAATCTAAGTAATTTGGGGATTACGCCTCAAGGCTCGTTTACGTTCTTTAAATCCTTGTGAATGCACCTCCATATCCTCAAGGATTTAGAATTCCTTAATATTGGTATCCACATATCAAGCACCCTTGCAATATAGATTTGATCCCTCACTTTTTGGTACCCAATTTAGTAATTTTATGCATGTTCGTTGCCACTTAATGTTATTTGTATCGACTCTAGTCATAACTCATAAGCAAATCTTGTGAGGCTTACATAAGCATCACCAAAATGGATGTTGTATTATTCTCTAGTTTTGAGGGCAAGTGAAATTGACAAGGGAAGATTTGAAAGAATTAGTCTTGTTGATTATATTTTCTCTTCCAATTACTAGAAGCTCTTAATTGTAATCATATAAAATTGAAATTAGAAGAACAATAATT